AGCTCGGAATCATATTAACGGAGAAAAAAGTAGGTATTTGCTGTCGTAACAAATCCCGTCTTATTATTTTTTTTGTTGTAGGTCATAAACACCTGTTCGTGGTGTTTTGGTACTCCACCTCTTGATTTCAGAAGGCACCATTACCTTTTGACCTATCACTGTTGTTTCTGATGACCACCAAACTATTAAGACATTCTTGAACATCACACCGCTGATGATGCCTACCATTTCGATTGGCACTTTATTAACTCATGAAGTTGAAACATCGTTGCTGCAGCCGAACCGTTAAGATCAGATAAGGTACATATCCTACGCAGAGGTTCGGAAAGGAACACATCTTAAGCAGTTCACAGTAGTTAGCAGAATCCATGCTCGGCACCAAAAGCATACTCAACCTCCGTGAGACTAGCGCCATCTAGATCGTGTGAATAACCATTCTTATTTTCACTCGTGGTTTTTAGTAACCTGAGTATCCGTCAGCTTGCTCAGAAATGTGGTAGCTCTGACAAGTATTTCGCACTAGTTAGCGTTGAAGTCCTTTCACTGGAACTGCAGGAACATGACCCAAGGATGGTATAGTTGTGTTATAGCGCTCAAATGGCACACCTGATGATAATGGCATCAAAGAATGGTTGCGTACGAAAAGGGTACCTCTGTTAGGACGCATCCCCTTAGAGGACCCTTCTCTGACCTGTACAGGAAGTTTATTTTTACGAACGGGTAAAGCCAGTGTGGCATTTTTACTACTACAGATGTTTATGGCATTCACGGGTACTCGGTCTTTCTTTTCGGCTACCAGTCGATCCCACTTTTTCAACATGAGCTCCATAGATGGGGCCGCCGACCCTCCTGAACGACTCGCCTGTAGAGATGCAAATGATAAGGAAGTGGTATTGCCTAAACAAGTTGGTTGCCGCGATGGAAATGTTGCCTTGGCGGCACTAGACTTTATTTTATGATTGACCCTGGCTTTAGTAAGCTGACCCGAGGCAGAGCCACATAAAACCTCTGATAGTTCTGTGTGCGGGTCACTTTCACGAACTTTTGCCACAAAGCTTGCGCTCTTTTGAGAGGGCTTGGCCCCCTCCTTGCAACTTCGGACGGGGTATGAAATATCTGCGATGACGTCCTGCTTCGTTATCTCAGGTAATTCCAACGTGGTGCACATCCTTTGACACATGGAAAGGTCTCCTTGCCGAACCTGTCGCGCGATCTGAACAATTCGGTCAGCATTTCGAATAAGCTCCATCGCGCACACATGCTCAATGTTGGAGGAAAGATCCCAAATGTCGTACCAGATAAGCAAGCTGTAAAGGATGTCAACAGCACGATCGCGGTAGGAGCTAACAAACCTGGTGTATACGTCTTCTGCCGTAAGGGACCACCTTTCGCCAGAACGCTGAGGTTCCCCTACTACATCTGCAACAATCTCACGCAGCTCGAGGGTAAAGCAAGAGAGCGGTGTCTCACGATACTGCAACACAGTATCCAGTATGAGGCTCATTTTTTCCAGACTCTTCCTGTTAACAGCATACAACACATTCTTTAGACGGTTAAATAAAATCCTCAGAGAAAGATAAATCAACGCAGTTAGTTGATTATGGTCGAAGTCGCATGGGAAAGCTGAACTAGCAGTAGCTAGGGTAATGCCTTGTTTTGATATGCTTTCTGAGATAAGCTCTTCGATACGGTGATGCAGTTTGATGAAATGCGAGTCACCATCAATGTCCATCAGTCCAGCGTCTTCCACATACCGCAGAAAAAAGCGTATTTTTCCTTCCTCGGAAGAAACTAACTGCTCCAATTGTGAAGTCTTCTTACGCAGCTCCTCAATGGTGCGACTTTGTTTATTCACAAACTGGTCGAGGCACTCGCTCACAACGAGCTCCTTCTCTGAGTCTGCGATGGCACCCGTTTTCGTTCCCTGTGAACTATTGATAGAATCGCTAAACTTCAACAGACTCTCCTCATACCGTAGATTTTCTTCCCGAAGTCGACGATTTTCATTCTCTAGATTATGAATGGTACTAAATAACACTGAAACGCGATTCTTAGGAAATGTATCCAAGGCAACCTTGGGATATTGTTCGTGTGTACTTATCAACAGTCCTGGAGGGATTGTAAGCCCTTTATCTTGTAAAATATCAGTCGAGAACGCGACGACGTGGGTTGTGGAGGATGGTCTGCTATTGTCGCACGCTACCGTAGCTTCGTCAAAAATTGCGTCTTGGTAGACAGTGGACCTTTCCGAACTAACCATCAACCCTTCTTCATCCCAGGATGACGACACACGCGTTGTGCCGCGCTCACCCTGCGAAATTTCAGGTAATGGTAGATCTCTGGGGTCATCTGAGAACAGTATATTGGTGACCCCTTGAGCCTCATTGCATCTGATGTTGCCACTATTATTATTCGAAGGGCAGTGCCCAGAAATCTGAATGTCGTCAAGTGCACCTAAACCCCGCTCCAGACTCGGATTGAATACGATATTAGGGTTGACAACACAAGAAGAGGTTTTATTTTCCTCTACAGTAGAGTCCTGGTGGTGCCATGATTTCTTTGGTGAATCGGGGGTGTGGCCCATATTGTGCTCTACGTCATACATTACCTTACTACTGGGGCTTCTCGAGGATGGGGAAGAAACACAGCACATGATACCCTGAGATGAATCCCTCAGCAGTGAAGAAAGTTCCCGCACCGGGCCATCACTTGGTACTTGAAGGCTCGGAGAGTTCCTGTGAGTATGTGTAGTGCGGTCATTTTTTGGAAAAAGCTCTGCCTCAAGAAAGCTCTCAGTTACGATGTCATTCAGATTTTCAGGCGTCGGTTTGATCACTTCAGTGGTGTCGTGACACCGCAACTGAATTTTCTCAACATAAGATCTGGAACTGACGGTAAGGGACTCAGTGTTCCGGTCTAACCGTTCAGACAAGGCATTCGAAGTAGACTTAATATTTCCATTGTAATGATTAAAATCTACACAATAAAAGACCAAATGGTCTTGTGTATTCTCACAAAAAGCCCCATCCTGAAAAATAACATAAATGGTATCACCATGCCCAAGCTCATGGTAGTCCTTTCTCAAATGTTTTCCATTAACCCTCACGTCTACAATGCTCTGAGAACACTCCGCTTCTTCCGGTGGAATAAAGTGAACGTAAAGACGCTCAGCATGGTCTTGAGAGTCCCGCTTGAAGCTTAAGCAACCGAAGCTAGTCGACAGTGGGTTATGTGGAGGAAAACATCCTGTATGTGAGTTGGGAACGCTTCCAACGACAGTACTTATTTCGTCTTCATCATTGGAACTCGCACTACCGCGCTGGGATTCGGAGTTGTGGCTTTCAAAAAGCGTCCTTTCCAATAGTGGGGTAATACGTGCCTCCATTGCACGGGCAACCTCCTTCTGGACCATAAGCTGCTTCTCCGCCAGGCTAGACATCACTTGTTCCGTCGTGGCCATGACTTTCTGTTGCTTAGAAAACCCCAGCAAGCCTTCAGGCTGAATCAGCTGTGCCAAGTTCAGTTCTAAAAAATCATTGTCCAGTGCTATTATCCGTACGATACCGTTACTTTCCCCAACATCGAGATCTGCAGTCCCCGTAACTCTCAGGCGCTTGTGAATTAAAAGGATAGCCAGTGGTGCACACATAGACTCCGAAGTAGCAAAGTTGATAAAAGCTTCACAACCTTTGCGCTCTCTTCGATGCGTTGACGCTAACAGACAGGGATTCGTTGCCAGGGCAGGTGTTTGCTTTTTCGTCGGAAACCCGCTCAAGGTACGAGTGTAGTCACAATGACTGTTTAAAATCCCCTTTTGATGCGCTGTCAAGCCTTCCATCTTTTCAACCGTCCCTTGTTGTCCTTCCTCCCCCGGGAGTAAGTTCGACACAAACGTTTTCAAATGTTTATGAATAATGCAATTCACTGTGAAACGGTTGCAAATATGACGCACCGCGTTTGAAAATGCCAACGTTGCGCACGATTCCTCGTAATTGAGCGCGATGGGTGAAATGTTAGCAATCATGAAAGTTTTGCTGTTCCCACCAAAACTATCCTTGAGTATCATGGTAAGCAATGAATCTCGGTAATTGACAAACTTGGAGCCACACGCAACATCGTTAATTACACGTGAAAGTGCTGTCAAGGACTGGTTAATATAAATCCTATCGGTGAGATCCCTTCGGTGCATATTCGCCGTTCGCTGGCGCTGACTCCCTGCCAAATCTACAAGATTAATCTTAGCAGAATGCTCCATAGTTTCGTGGGTGTTATGGTTCGTGCGACACTGTATTACACGAATCTGCAAAATTGCATGGCTTCGACTGCTGAATGCGTTCATGCTTGTCTTATCAACCCGTCGCCGCCGCAATCCCAGTTTGAGAAATTGGTTCGCCGAAGCCGTTGTTGATACCTCAGCTTGAAGAAGCCCGTCTATATTAGCCCCGTCGCCTGTACCATCAGTATTCCGTGTGAAACGCACGCGCAGCGGGCCCTTCCCGGAAAGAAGGCAATACACCTCATTTCGGTGGATCTCCATAAAAGAGACTAAAACCTTGTACTTGAAGTCCTGCGTCGCCGATTCTTTCGCATGCTCGGAGCTGAGATCGTCAAGAGTAAGAAAAATGTCCTCAAATGTGCGTTCCACGAGGCCGGGATCATGGTGTAAGCTAGTGGGATCCCCAAAGAGGGTGTAGGTCTTTCCGCTGTCGGCTTGTCCGTAGGCGAAGACGCAGGAATTGATCCCACCCAGTGCCGCCTTCACGGCGTGCACGGCGGTGGAATGATACACCGCTGCCTGTGTGCCGAACGCGGGAGAGCGGAATAAACTATCCGCGCGGAGCAGCGGCATCGTCGAAACCGACGTCTCATCCATGCTCACCACACACTGATCACACTCATAGCAGTTGGTGGTACCTCTGAAAGTCGAACTGTTAGGGCTATTCACCGAACGCAACATAAATGGAATAAGAGAATGGATGGGGAGGCTTGTTTTTTTGCTACAATACGACACGGTGCCACCACTTAAAGAACATTTAAGGGGATCGGAAAGGAGGTGCGCTACGTGGATAGAATCACGCTCAACGGTATATGCATCATCGATACTTTTTGGATCATGCATCACGACAATATTATCAATCACAGAAACGCATATTCGTTGAGAATGGCACAATGGTCGGGTGTTCTTTTGCATCGCATAATGTGGTATGTCTGAGACAGGAGGAACGTTGCGAACACGCACGCAGACAACGATGTGGTCATCGTCTGAACGCAGGTTCGGACTCTGCACGTTGCACCTGTAGTGGTTGCAGAGACCTTCAATATTCATATGTGACGGCTTCAATCCTTGAAAATATAAAAGGATGTGTCCTCTACAGTCAATATCTCTGAAAAAACACAACACAATACTATGATTGAAGTGTGAAGGGAGAAATAGGTCAAATATTTAGTTGTAAGATCCAGAAAAAGATTATGTTGTTTGTTTGGATGAGCTACCAAAAAGGAAGGATAGATATGCTCAAAATAAGTGAACATATAGCATCTTTTGAAAGAAATAAACGATTAGTCGTAAACACTTGCACTAATAAATACCTCACTTTTGCATTGCGTTATAATTGATAGGAGACTGGGAAGCAATAATTCAATAAAGCTTTATTTTAACCCGTCCTTAGATCCAGTGAAGGGTATAATGTAGGGGTGGATTTAAAAAAATGACATATTTGTTTTGCATTGTGTCGCAAGATATTTTTAGCATATAATCTTATAAACATGTGGAATCAAAGTGGAAAGATAAAATACTAAACAACACTTTTGAATGAATTTTAACAACCCGGGGCTAATAATATAGATGGAAAGAGATCGAAATGAAGTGGGAGTCAACGATCCATGGGTAAGCAAATATGAATGTTATGAAACGCAGTGGTTCGCAAGTAATAACATATTTAAACAGACGCTCACTATTCCACTTATCACTCATCTTAGTCGTGGGGTGACACTAGTATTATTATTGCCATTGTGTAAATCTGACCTAATCAGAAGTTACAGTTTAATTGTAAATACAATAAAAAGAGCAATATTGTCACAATAGGATGGGAAGTAAGTATACCAAAAAGGTAAAAATTAAAACAGAACAAACACTGGAATATATATCGAAACGTAAATCAGATAATCATATAGATCAAAAAAAACTTGCTGAAACAAAAGCTACACCATTTTGTATCATATAGTCCTTTCCGCCGCTGCCTCTCATGCCCTTTATGCCTATTCTACTAACTGTTATTATGGTAGTGCATGAAAAATTCTTTATCCATTATAAATAAACGTTATTTAAAGATATGGATAGATTTCCTCAAGAAAATACACATAAAAAAGAGGCATTTTTTTATCCATTTATTCTTTTATCGTCTTCTTTCCTACAACATTTACATGTATCTACCTAAGACATTAGCTATATGATTTCATTATCAACTGTATAGATTTCAGCATGTTAAAACATTTTCAACCTGTTATTTTTGATCACAAAAAGTAGATAGATATAATAGATAATTACTAAAATGAAAATGAAGCATTATACAACTAATTTTCTCTACTTTAGATTAAACAAAAGTTTTAATAGTGTTATATGGAAGGAAAATATATACATCTATTAAAATATAAATTTTAAATAATAAAAAAATGATCTTTTTTTTGCTCTTTCCAAATCCCCTCTACAAGATGTTTTCAATTATAAATATCAGATTCAACATGCTATCGCTCTTCTATTTTATCTTTGAAACTCACACTCCACTTATCTCGCCGAATCGATGGCACCTCTGACACAGAAACCAAATTTGTAGCTGACGGCACGCGCTCAATTTCAGAGCACAAAGAATCACCTCTTTGAGTGTTACCACGTAATTTAGATTGGCACGACAAAATACTTCGCTGCGGTTTGATGATTGGAGAGATAACAGGTGCTTTCTTTTTACTCTGATCCCCCGTTCGAAACCAAGAAAGTAAACACGAAGATAAAGATTTGGAGTGTCGTCGCTTCGGTTTTTTATGGTTTTGCTGTGGAGACGACCTCCTAGAATCCTGTGAACTCAATGAAGATATTTTTTTTATCGGCTGCTGCTGTTGCGGAGATGGACTCCTTGGATCCTGTGAACCAGGTGAGGGTGACCTTCTTGTGGGCTGCTGCTGTTGAAGAGATGGACTCCTTGGATCCTGTGAACCAGGTGAGGGTGACCTTCTTTGTGGGCTGCTGCTGTTGAAGAGATGGACTCCTTGGATCCTGTGAACCAGGTGAGGGTGACCTTCTTGTGGGCTGCTGCTGTTGAAGAGATGGACTCCTTGGATCCTGTGAACCAGGTGAGGGTGACCTTCTTGTGGGCTGCTGCTGTTTCGGAGATGGGCTCCTTGAATCCTGTGAACTAAATGAAGGTATTATCTTTCCCGACTGTGGCTGTTGCGGAGATGGTCTTTTTGCTTCCTGTGAACTCTGTGAAGGTGTCCTTTGTAGTGGCTGCGGTTGCGGAGATGCTTTCTTTGGATCCTGTGAACTAGGTGAGGTTACTCTTTTTAGTGGTTGCGGTTGCGGAGATGCTTTCCTTGGATCCTGTGAACTAGGTGAGGTTACTCTTTTTAGTGGTTGCGGTTGCGGAGATGCTTTCTTTGGATCCTGTGAACTAGGTGATGGTATAGTTTTTGTCGACTGTGGCTGTTGCGGAGATGGTCTTTTTGCTTCCTGTGAACTCTG